AAAAATCTGTCTGACACTGAAAATCCGTTGTATTGTAAAATTCGTTATATCAAAATTCGTTGTAGAAAGAGTTGATTGTATATGTTTTAAAAATCAGCCAAAATTATGGTATAATATCAGCTGAAATCAATCACAAATTTATTGCATCACCTGATGCTATATTTTTTACCATATTTCTGCATTTTGGTAGATAACTAAATAGATAAAAAAGGAAAGCACTCTTGATACCTTAACAGATACCCAGAAGTAGGTAAATAAAAAATAGCTCTTTATTAATAAAAAAGGTATAGAAGCGCGTAAATAGTAAGATATTTTTATAATATTAAAAAAGCTAAAAATAAAGAAGTAAGGTATAACCATCAAATTATGAAATTATTATTAGATTATACTATTAGATTATGAAATTATCAATAAATAAAACTAATTTGTAAAAAGGTATAGTAGGAATTAATTAAAATAATAGTTAGAGAGTCATAAAAATAACTAAAGAATAGATTATGAAGTTATTGTTAAATTTTGAAATTACTATCAGATTATGTAATTAGGTTATGAAGTCATTATTAGATTACGAACTTGGATTATGAAGTACTAGCAGATTATAAAGTTATCATTATATTATGAAGTTATCAGTAAACTATGAAGTTACCATTATATTATGAAATTACCAATAGACTATAAAGTTACCTTCATAATCTAATCTAAGTCACATGTAACTTCATAATATAATTATATTATGAAGTTACATACAACTATATATAAATATTTAACAGCCTCATAACCTTACATAATATTATAAAATATAATATAATTGGAAAATTATTTATACTTATATGCATAGGATTCAAAAGATTATTTAAATCAAAATTTGAAATTTATAGTGAATGTAAAATAAATATTTAGTATCATTAGTAGCTGAATATAATCTCACATTTTGCAGCTATTTTAGGGTTATTTCAAAAGGTAGAGCAAACTAACACTAATTCTGTAAACAACTAAATGCGGTTATAGTTTTTAATCTATTATAAGCAAATGCAAAGGAAGACCTATTAAAAGATTAAAATTATTCATGAAAATTAGTTTAAAGATTCCAGGTTAAAGATCATTCTAGAGATGATTATGCACGTTGAAATTGTCTTAAAGACAGACATAGTGCAAGAAAAAAAAACGGATATACTTATTTACATTATCCAAACAAAGAAATTTTCTTGCCATTTGCTGGTTAAATTTAAATTGCATTTAAATAATTTATAAGTTATAAAGATTTATATGCTTATGTAAATTTTTAATATCCCGTTATATTAATCACATGATATACTGTTTGTACTAGGATGTTGTTTAATAAAAATCATCCGGGATGGTAATTCTAAAATTTCTTACTTGATGAAATCTTAAGTATAAAGTTTAAAAAATTAAAAAAGAAAATTATTTTGCAGCTCTAACTTAATTACGCATTTTCCTTTTTCGAATTTTTTATTATTATCAAAATTCTTTAAGTTTTAATTTTCTTCGATAATTTCACAATAGAAATATAACCGATACATGGGGGCTATGGACAAACTACAAAATCATAAAGTAAATTTATCGATTTTTTCTTTGCAAAACATTACTAATAAATATTTAATACTAATTTACAAAGTTTTCAGCTTCTCGTCTCCTTTTTTTTTCGAGTAAGGAAAATAAATTATTTAATTACATATTAGGAAATTTAGCTGTCGATGTTAAAGATTTTAATCACGTAAGAATTCATTATTTATAAGATGTTTTATTATTATATGAGCTATACATATGCAAAACCAAATTTTACACTGAGTTATTTAACAAATAAAGATTAAGTTTGGATAATATTCTACGATTGAACAGATTGAACATCTGGATGAACAATGCAAATATCAAACATTTATTCTTCATCTAACATCTCACGTTTTCAGATTACATTTCTGGAAGAAAAATTCATTTAGTGGAACCAATTACTCGTTTCCATTTTGGGTGTTTTACTTAATCAGGAACAAAAACGAAACGCGCAAAGCTCTAGGGAAAAGTTTCCGGCGAATTCTGTCGAGCCTGATAAATATCCGAAATCCTATTTTCAGCACGTTCCGTATTACAAAAAATTTTCCCAATTAAATTTAACCCCTTACGAAAATCACAAACACGCTTTAATGATCACCCTTCTTTGTTTTAAAATTCTTTGTTCTGCGGCAACGTATGAATAAAGTTTGATGATGGATAACATTACTGATGCACTAATGAAGATTTTCATAATTATTGTAAATAAAATAAAGAGAATTCATTTTGATTTAAAATAAGATGTGGATTATCAAAGGCACCTTAATTTTTGGACCGATTATGGAAGTCAAACATATTCGGCAATCTCCAATAATTTAAAGTGATAATTGAATAATCAATATCACCGAAAGTAATACAATAAAATGAAAATCTCATAAATTAACACGAGGAACCTAATCTTAAATTTCCGAAAAAAAAAAAAAAAAAAAAAAAAAAACCCGATTTAAGGTCGTACTTGGATAAGTCGGAACATTTATTAATTAAACGTGTTCCTCATGCTTTTTATTCTTAGTCGAGATAAAACGGTCAAATGTGGGGTGAGTGAAAATTTTTTTCATACATAAATATATATATATATCAAACAATTGATGTGAGTTTTTTATAAAAACCTGTTTTTAACTGGTTGGAACTTTCAACAAAGGTGATTGCTGTCAAAAAATGAGATGAAGAAATAATCCTCTCCGGTATTAGTATGTGTCACGTGATTACATTTCGGAGAATCGTCGTTTTTTATGGTTTTTATATCAGATAATCAACCCTCGAAATCGCGACAAAGTTAATAAATGTATAATATGAACCGTTATTTTCAATAAATTGTAAAGTTTAAAAAGGTATTAAAATAAGTTATACGACAGATTTTTTTACTTCCAATATATATGAAATTTACCTTTTAAATTTTAGAAAAATATCAAGAAGCTAAAGAAATGAATGAATGAATGAATGGGATGTCCATCTAAGATACATGATTCCGCGTGGAATCATTCCAAATTGGGTTTCGAAATTTAATCGTTATATACTTCTCGAGTATGCTTAGTGAATTAGATTTTCATAATTTTCATTTCGCTTTCAGTTTTTCATCTTTCCTTTTATCCTTCCTTTCACTTATCTAAACACTTAAAGACGCCAACATCTAACATGTATAAACCTACTGGCACAATGAACGACAGATACTCCAAGTTATCAAAGATTGGGGAAGGTAAGTTTTACGATTAAAAAGAATATTTAAGCTTTTGAAATACCGTTACACGGAAAAAACCGTTATTTTTTTTACAAAAATAGTGTTCTTATTAACTTTTGCCTATTTCCTTTGTAGGAACATATGGCATTGTTTACAAAGCTGAAGAAAAGAAAACGGGTCGCGTCGTTGCTTTGAAAAAAATGCGACTTGAGTCTCATAATAACGAAGGAGTATCTGGTACCGCAATGCGAGAGATAACAATATTAAAAGAAACAAATAACAAAAATGTTGTAAAGTAAGCATACTTTTATAAACTCTTGACCTCTTCAATCATGACGCGTAAAAATTACGCGTATTTTAATGGTTTGATATAATATATGTTTGATATATATCGCATGAAATATTCAAGACATTAAATGATTGGTGGTCATTGTGCTACGCATGGCACATGATTAATCGTTAATTTACTCGCACGATCTAATTGCATTGTGACGCGCGATACGTGGTGGATATTACTCTATCATCACGGATGGCCCAATAAAAAAAAAAACATGAAAATTTTTAATTTAATATGATTATGATTCATTTTCTAGGTTGTTAGATACCATTCATGCAGATAAGGACCTTTACCTTGTGTTTGAATATCTTGACATGGACTTGAAAAAATACATGGCATCGACTCCACAATTTTCAACCGAGACAATAAAGGTATATATATCTTTGATGATTCTATTAATTCATGTTATCAATTGATTGTACATAATGTACCTTGTTTAATGCATTTTTTGCTCGATTTTCAGAAATTACTCTTTCAGCTAGTTAGTGGTGTTTATTATTGTCATTCTCGGCGCATACTTCATCGTGATCTGAAGCCTCAAAACCTACTCATTGACTCAAATGGCAATTTGAAATTGGCCGATTTTGGTTTAGCAAGAGCATGTAGCATTCCAATGAGAGCTTACACACACGAGGTTAAGAATTTTTGACTCATAATAATAATCATGTAATATATTATTATATAATTAATTGGATTTATTAATGTATTTAGGTTGTAACTCTTTGGTATAGAGCCCCTGAAATTCTTTTGGGCTCTCCGCAATATTCAACTGGTGTTGACATGTGGAGCGTCGGATGTATTTTTGCAGAAATTTTAAAAAAAGCTGCATTATTCCAAGGTTTGTTATAGCGATCACGTGAAAGTATCGTATTAGTTAACCTCAAATAATAATGATAATAATAATAATAATTGTTTAGGCGAAAGCGAGATTGATCAAATTTTCAAGATATTTTCGTACGTAATTTGTTTATAACAAGATAAAATGTTCAATAAAAATATTAAGTCACGTGGTTCTACAAATTTTGCAGTATTCTCGGAACTCCCGATGAAACACTTTGGCCAGGAGTAACTAATCTCCCAAATTTCAATGTCACATTTCCATATTGGGAGCCGCAGCCGCTCGAAAAATCCTTTACTGAATTGGACGATAGAGGAATCGATCTTTTAGATGTAAACATGACATGAATTAAAATGAGAAAATTTTTATTGATTAAATTTTATGGTGATTAATATGAATATTATTCTTAATATTTTTTTATAGGGATTTTTGACTTACGAGCCTAGTTGCCGAATTTCAGCAAGAGCCGCACTTTTTCATCCTTATTTTGAAAATTGTAATGAAATGCCATTTTGAAAGGAACGAATTCATTTTTGTTTAATGGACATTTGGGAAAGGGAAATTTTTCTCTTTTTTTTTTTTTTTTTTTTTGTATAGGATATATATATATATAATCGTGTTAATAAGATAAAAATGTAGAAATGTAACAATACAATACAAAAAAATTATAATAAAATTAAAACATTAGAAATGAATGATTAATCTATATTTATTTAAGTTTTGCAGCGAATACCATGACAAAAAGAGTAAAATTCTATTTGCTACGTTTCTAATTAAAGAAAAAATTTATTTATTTATTTTCCTAAAAATTTTTTGACAAAAAAGTAATTTTAGATAATATACATTGTATTGTTTAGTGCATCTAAAAGTATTAACCTAAAAAAAAAAATAATAAATAATAATAATATATGCTAAAAATTTTTGGCTTCAGATAAAATTTTATTTGAGTAAATTTTAATTTCTACTGCGCATATGTTATTATTAATTATAAAATTACAATGAATTGTAATAAGTCACTAAAATCTTTAATAAATAAAGAGATTTAAATAAAAAGAATTCTAAGAATTCTCTTTATTTATATCTACATAATTGAATATTAAGAAAATATTTCTTAACGACCAAACATTATCATATCATTATTATTAATAGCCTTTTTTGGAATATCAAAAAATGTTTTCTCTTGAAAGAATATTACAATTCTTTAGCTAAACTTTCTAATAAACTTTGAACATTATTAACATTGTCAAGATAATATTTAGCTTCGGTTTGCTTTTTACCAACCGTACTAGTAATACTATCTGGAGAAATTTCTTTTAATAAAGAAAATACCGGTTCATCAGTTTTACCGTCTCCAACACAGAGAACGAAATCTACTTCATCTTGTGGTTGATGTAAATCTTTAAGAATAGCTCGTACTGCTGTTGATTTATCGACCGAAGAGGGTCTAACTTCCAAAGTTTTATTACCAAGTACAATCTATTAATGCGATAAAAAGAAAAAAAACATACATTATTAATATCAAAGAATATGTGCACGTAAATCAATTATATATAACACATACTGATAAAGCCATATGACTTAAAAGCTTTTCTAAATTAACTTGAAGCTCAGTTGCCTGCCATGTACCAAATTCTGGATCAGCACTACGATAATGCCATGTTATGTTAATCTCCTTAGTTTCAATAAAAGATCCAGGTGTTCTTTCTTGATAATGTTCAAACAATGGAAGTATGGTTTCTTTCCATGCAGGGTCAACTTGCTCTACAAGTCTATACCATCCATTACTTTCACCTTTAATTGTTTTTCCTTCAGCTAAACAATTTGCAACCGGATCAACCACCCCGTTTAAACATTCAGGATGTTTATAAAAACATCCATGTTCAGCGGATAAACCAATTCCAGCCGAATTAAACCATTGATCAAGGTGTTCTCTCCCGCGTCCAGATAATATGTAAACACACGTATTAGGTTTAGATTGAAGAGCCTTAAGTGTTGAAAGAACATTACTTGATGGACTGGCAAATTCAGGTAACTTGTGAACAGCTGTTAGAGTACCGTCATAATCTAATAATATCACTCTCCTTTTTTGGGAATTCTTTGCGATATCCACTACTTGATTAATTTTCAAGACAGGAAGTCGCATGTGATGAGTGAATTCTTCACTAACTCGCTATGAAAATATTAAATATATAAATATATATATATAATAAAACTAAGTAAGAACATTAGATAAGGAATATAAATAATTACCCTTAATTCACTGACAAAGCTTGAACCCCAATAAGCCGCGGTATACTTAGTAACATACCGAGATAATTTAATATAATTTGATTTACGCAAATCATCGGACATCGTAACAGCTTCATGAATAGCATTGGCAAGCTCATCAGTGTTCCATGGATTAACAATAATGGAACCTTTAAATTCAACGATATAATAAATATGATGTGCAAGTTCAATATTAATTCGTTAAAGTAATAATAACAACAATAACAATAAAAATACGATAATTACCATTTAATGACTGAGCAGCACCGGCAAATTCACTAAGGATCAATACGCCATGTTTCTCTTGTTGGCATGATACGTATTCATATGATACGAGATTCATACCATCTCTGGTGGATGAAATTAGACATGCATCTGATACCGCATACAAAGCTACTAATTCCTCAAATGAAACAGATTTGTGCATAAAATGAATGGGCATAAATTCGACAGTCCCAAACTTGCCATTGATCCTTCCGACAAGCTCATTGACAACAGCACGCAAATTTTGATATTCTTCTACATCTTGCCTGGAAGGTACAGCCACCTGAACAAGTACAACTTTGCCTATCCATTCAGGATGTTGACTTAAAAACACTTCAAGAGCATGAAACTTTTGTGGAACACCTTTGATATAATCAAGGCGATCCACTCCAACGATAATTTTCACGCCTTTGAACTTTGATTCTAAAGCTTTAATTCGTTCTTGAATCTTCGGCTGTTTTAAACCCTAAATAATAAAAGTCGAAAGTTGAAACTATGCAATTGAAACTAAACTAATAACAAAGTCAACATATGATTTAACTTACTTCAGCAAACTTCTCAGGATCGATACCTATGGGGAATGTACCAACATGCACATGACGTCCTTCGAAGTCTATGCTGTTCGGCATGGTAGATAAACCTAATATACGTGTACATGAAGACAAGAAATGACGGGCATAATCATATGTATGAAACCCGATAAGATCAGAATTCAATACCCCGTTAAGAACTTCTTTACGAACAGGTAAAATTCTATATTTCCAAATGAATTCAGTTTAAAAGGACAATTTTAAGATCGCGTTTTTTTTTAATATTTATAAAAAATAAACTTGCCGATATATTTCGCTGCTTGGAAATGGTGTATGTAAAAAGAAACCGATTTTTACATTGGATTTATTATCATCCATTCGTTCCCTTAACATGCTAGGTAACAACATCAAATGATAATCTTGTACCCAAACCAAATCACCATCTTTAACAATTTCATTAATAGCATCAGCAAAAAGTCCATTGACTTTTTGATAAGCTTCCCAATCTTCTTGATCAAATGAAATTTCACCAGGATGATAATGGAATAACGGCCACAAGATAGAATTAGAAAACCCATTGTAATGTCGATCCGCTACATCATCGTCAACAAAAACTGGTAAACATGAATGTTGTTCTAATTTAGTAGTAACGATTTGTCTATCTTCCTCTGGTATATTGATACCTAATAAATTTATAAATCACAAAATTTCTTAATATTGATAACCAAAATTCATGATTCATATGAATTGACTCACTTTCAATAAACAAAGAAAACAATTTTAATCAAAAAAAAAAAAAAAAATGAATAAAAAAAAATAAATAATGAAAAAAAAATATCCAACCAGGCCAACCAATCCAAGTAAAGGTCATCATTTTTTTTAACCCACTTAGGGCACTTACCAGGCCACCAGAAGACATTTTAAAAGAATAATCATTATTTGTCTTCGTAATGGTAACTGGTAAACGGTTCGAGACAACCAATAGTCTAACCCTGTCGGTAGACTTATTTAACGTGCCATTAGCAGGCTGTGACATTTTTTTTTAATGTATTGCTTAGAAAATGTCAAAAATGAAACGAAAATAAGTACTTTTTATGGTTTCGAAAAATAAGTTTATTTATGTGTAATTATCACATGCTAATTACCTAACATTTACGACATTATGTAATAACGATAAGGTTTTATATATGACGTAGTGAGATTCACGAATTCAGGCGTAAAGCATACCCCAGTCCAGTTGTGATCAGACCCAACGATCAAGATACTGAACTGGTTTTTTTATATAAATTTAAGTCAACATTTCTTTCATCCTCTCGATTTATCTCGATCGAACGTGGGTAATAAAACCCACAAATATGTTTAATATATTTTTATCATTTTAGGTAAAATTTTCTGATGAAAACCCGTACTACAATGTCAAAAGAAGGTTGTTGATCATTTAAACAATTTTTAATCAGGCGAATTTAGTTGTACCTAAATATAATTAATTTCATTGGTAATACTTTTTTATGGTAATCTGGGTAACCTAAGAAAATAATTTTTTGTTTTCAAAACGAAATTTTAAGACGGAGCTTATTAAATTACGTCCGTTTAAATTTCCGTTAAAAGTTTAGTATTTGTTAAAATACTTTTTATCATAATAATTAATAATAATTTATTGTGATTGAATAGAGAGGTTATGATATTTAAACTTGTTTGTATTAATAAGTTTTGGTTAGTGTGAATGGTTTTTTTTTTTTTTTATATTAATTTTTTTCTTGTTTGACCATGTTTCTTGTTTAATAAACTTCTTGTTTGAGAAATATACTAAATATTATATAATATTTTTTTATTTACTTTGTTTCTTTTAAATTCTTCGAAACAACTTTTTTTTGTTTCGAAAGTTAGGTCACTTTAATTATTTAGAATTGTTTTATACAATTTTGTAAATTATTTAAAATTACCTTTTTTTATGTTAAAGATTGAAAAATGTTCATATAATTTATTAATCACAAAATCATAAGAAAAAAAAGAACATTTATTATTTTATGGATAATGATGTTAAAGTATTATTATAATTATTATAATCGAAATCAAAGAAATAGTGGAGGATATTATAATAGTATATATAATATCTTTTTCTTATTACTATTATTAATATCACCACTAACTTCCGCTGGATTGGGATCTGTATCGGGTCCAAGTATTCAATTGGATGTTGTAGAATATGTTATAGGCAACGATAGACGTGCTAGACTCTATGCTAATACTCCCATAAAAGAATATGAACGGGTGGAAATATTAGAAAATAGTGTTCCACCATCAAAGGAGGGAACACAGGTAAAAATAATTATTAATTTATCAAAAAAAAAATATATATATATATATTTATTTATTAAATATAATTTTCCTTTATCTTATTATTATAATATTAGGGAATTTTATTTCAGTTAATACAAAACTGTGACGAAAAGAATTTAATGAATATAACAATGACACCGGACGATGTAGTTAATGAAATTCCTTCAAGAATAGCATTAATAACAAATCCAAGTTGTCCATTATTATTACTTGATTCAGCAGATCGACAAAATGTCACAGGAGCAATCATTATAGCGAATTCATCAGTTATAACAAACCCTTCTTCATCACCAAAAATTCCTAACAAATATAATTTTCCAATATATTATGTAAATAACGCTGCTCATGGTCAAGAAATTGTAGATTTTTTATTAAGTAATAATTATTATACACGTCCAGACGAAAATGGAGAAGCATTTAAATATCGTGTTAGAGCTCTTCTATTTCCTCAAGCTCCTTTCTTTCCTGGTGTTTGGGAATTTACTTTGATTGTAGTTGTTGTTTTATTAGCAGTATCATTCGTAACATCTGGTATGAATACCTCGTGTTTGCAATATTTTTTAATAAATCAAATTCAAATTCACTTTTCTTTTTCTTTTTTAACAGTTGCTATGCATTGTCATCTTTACCGACTTCGACGTCGTCAAAGAGGAAGAGAAAATAATCCAAGACCTTTTACTTATCGCATGAAGATGTTAACAATAAGCGATGACATGTTGGCCTCTTTCCCGATCAGAACTTATACGGCACCTAATTCAAATAACAAAATTGTGGAAACTCAATCCAATATGGAGAATAAGGATGCTCAAAATGAGGACGATGTTCCAAATCAAAACGAAATAAGTAGTGAAGCCCAAAACTTATCGGTAACTACGCAAACTGCTCCTGTTACACATCTTATATCTGAATCAGAAGATAATGAAAAAACCGACACAAATGAAAAAATTGATGAAAAGAACACTATAGCAATTAATATACCATCATCAAATAATATACCTATTGATGTACCTTCTATTCCTTTAGTCCTTAACCGTAAAGTATCAATTAAATCAGATTATCCAACTTCTTTAAGTCGTCACGTGTCAGTGAAATCTCAACATGCTAATCTTAGTCGTCATGTATCGGTTCGCTCAGCACGTTCAACAAAATCTACACGTTCAGAAAATGCGATATCAGCAGCAACAGCTCTTTGTGAAATTAATGTGGACGATCATGATTTGCAAACACATTATAGTACAATGTGTGCTATATGCCTTGATGAATTTGAGAATGGTGATCAACTTCGAGCTTTGCCTTGTAATCATGAATTCCATCACGAGTGTATTGGTAATTAATCGATTTATTTATCTTTTTAAACATTGTTTTGTAATGAATGAATTAATCCTATTTTCAATCTTTAGACCCTTGGCTCACACAAAAATCATCACTTTGCCCACTATGTAAGTTTGATTGTGTACCAGAAAGTAGTAAATCACAATATGATCCCGAGACACCTTCAAATACATCAGGAAATAATAGAAATTTCATAGTTATGATGCTTTTAGCATGGTGGCCGATTGCATATATTCGTGCAAAGTTTATAAGATGGAGAGAAAATCGAAGGCACAATTCGATTGCTGATGCATCTACTACGAACCACCAACCAATTACACCATCACCACAAGGTTTATCGCCATCTAGAAGAATTGAAATACTCACTTCTAATAATAATGGGTTACATAGACATGGTAGCGTTGAAGCTTTAAGAGAACTTGCAATGCAATCTAGCTTGGCTGGAATATAAAATATAATATTTATATTTATACAATTTTATAGACTTGGGAATAAATTTTTTTGTAAATTTGAAAAAAAAAAAAAAAAAGGAAGGGATATTGGATAAAGTTACTATTATAGTGTAATAAATAATTATCATAATTTTCTCGATGTTTTTTTATTAACTTTTGTTGAAAATCAAAATAATTAATTATAAAAAAAAAAATTGCGAGCTAATGCACAACAAGTGGATTAATTTTTTATTTATTCTGATGAAGACAATCATTTCATTAGATTGATACCATCAAAGTAAGTTAATTCTAAGAAATCACCTTTGTTTTTTGATAAAATCAATAAATAATTTATATCTATCGAATATTTGATTAATTAAAATTTTACAACAGGTATAGCGAGTATCTTTATGATTATTAAAATTTAAATGGCGTGATAAAAATAAATAATAAATAATTTGGGTGAAAAATTATACCGATACTATTGCTGAATATCCTTTTTTAGGAAGAATATTTTTATTGATGACTTTTTTTAATTTTACCATTCAGAATTTTTTTTTACAGTGTCGATTTATACAGAAATCGCCCGTCTCATTCTTATTGTTGAGGAAAAGACTTTTCTTCGAATTACTTCACTAATAACCGTAAAAAAATGGAAGTGGCCGAAATCCTTTCTACTTGTGAATCTGTTCAAGAGAAATTGCTTTCTTAGAAAGCTTTGATATTTTATAAAATGCTTTCCTATTAATGCTATATTATCTAAATTTACTATATATAATATTACACATTATTTGGAGAAAAATATATTAAATAATATTTTCACTCATTCCAATTCGTTTATTTATTTGATATACTGTAGTTGCTTCACCAACAATTCAAAACACACTCCAACTCTGAAAATATCCCTAATGACATATAAGACATTATTTGTAATCTGTGAAACGGAAAAGGCATTATTGCGTCTGATGAAAAATATGGACAATTTACATTAATGTTGGAAAATTAGAACAGTTTTGGACAGGTTATGATACATTTTTCTATGTTCAAAATCTTGTCCAAAATATCTAAAATAAAAAAATGTATTCAAAACCCAATACTGATTTACATGATCTCATGACAAATCAAAAAGAATTTGCAGAACCTTAAAATATTTATATTTTGCTGCTAAGGAAAAGCAAAATAACATTTGCTTGATGTGTTTATGAAAATGAAGATGATTATCATAAGAATGTAATAACCTGAAATTACAGTTAGATCATTCTTTTTATATATTATGTGACAGTTTTATCAAAATTGGTCTTGAAGAGGTATTATTTGAATTAAGATTATTTTATGAAATACTAAAATATAAGCTTGAGAAGTATTCTACACAAATCAATTATAATAATCTATTATACAAACATTATATTGTTATTTATTTTGCAAAATAGAGATTTTTGAATTTGAAAAAAATTTAAAGGATCTTTTATCAAACTCTTGATATAATTCTTATGTTCTAATAATTCAGATTAGCCATTATATCATTAATATCAATAAAACAAACTCAATATTTGAACAGTATATAGATATATTTCTTAAACAAATTATCATGTTATTTTCATATATAATCATTTACTTTCATTTTTCTATTTTAAATGAAACTCATGTAAACAATTTGTTTAATATTATTAAATCAACCCAATAAAAAATTTGATATAAAAATTCCATAAAAATATTAAGTTTTATAACGTATAACTTTTATGGAAAATCAGT